AGAAGAAGAAGAAGAAGAAGAAGAAGAAGAAGAAGAAGAAGAAGAAGCAGCAGCCATCTTTAATGAATCAAAAAGTTTGATCAAGAAAGAAAAGAGAAAGAGAGGAAGGAAAATGAAGGACTTAAGACCTAAAAAAACACCCAAGAAAGAGAAAAGTAAGATGCAAAATCAATACAATGTTAGAAAGCAAAAGAAAAGAGGAATACAACAGAGAGGGGAAGCTAAAAAGGCGGAGGTTAGGAGAGGAGGGGGTAAAAAGGCTAGGTGGGATAAGAAAGAAAGGGAAAAGGGGGAAAAAAGCCACAAAGGTATGAAACAAGATGGGAAAAAGCAATTTTTTTTTAGGGATAAAGGGTAATGCATAATTAAAAAAAAAGATTCTGCAAAGTACATATGATAGTATTGTAGTATTTGTATTAGAAATAGAAAATTAGAATTTTATAAGATCTAATAAAATATTAAAATATTAAAATGCTTAATAATGATAGATTCTAAGATTTAATAAAATATTAAAGGAAATGTTTAAAATATTTAGTTTAATTATAGAGTTTAATGGGCTATTGTGTTGATGTTATTATAGATTTATTATTGCAGCATCTGTTTTTGAAATAGACAATTGGAATGTTACAAGATTTAATAAATTAAAATATTAAAATGTTTAAGATTTAATGATAGATTTTAATATTTAATTATGTACTTAATTATTTTATAGATTTATTCTTTCTTTTTCTTAAAATTTAGTAGGTAGAATGTACTGAGCAGAATCAGACTGGGATCTAGATGTTATTTTAAATGTTAATCTAGGGGAACGACAGAAAGGCATCATACTCCGATTAGTGATTTCAGGAGAAATTTTCTTTTTTTTATTATAGAGAATGAGATAAATGGTTAATTGGAAAAGAATGGACAAAAGATACAAATATAATGATTTAAAGTAAGATGAAATAAATAAAATAGAATTAAGAAGTTTGAAAAGCGGGGAGGAGTTATATAGAAGATATAGAATGGTAAATAAGATAGGTAATGGTATATAAGATGAGCATGAATTTAATTGAAGTCTGTACGAAGAGAGGTAATCTGGGGCCAAGCCACTTTCTAAAAAGAAGTTTTATGTTTTTGTGTTTTGTGTGTTTATGTTTGATTGAAAATTAATAAAACCTTGGAGGAATGTCAGATGAGAATAATTGTAAACAAGTCAGAGGGAAATATAAATATGATGACTATAAAACAGATAAATATAGAAAAGAAATGTAATTGAATAAGAGTAAAGAGAAAATGAGAAATTTGTTAAAAGATATTTATGTGTCCATATGGAGATGGGGTAAATTAGAATTTTCAATGTTTAATGATGTTTTGTTTGTCTTTACAATTAATAACATTTGTTTCAAAAAAAAAAAAAGAAGAAATTGGATAGCTATTTGCCTGAAATGGTATAGGATTTTCTCCTTAAGCAGGGGATTGGACTAGAAGACCTCCAAGGTCCCTTTCAACTCTGTTTTTCTATTCTATACATTAATAAATATGATTGTCTTCCCCACCAAGATGAATAACACTTATTAATGGGTTTAGTATTTTTTCTCTGTACAATATAAATTGGTCTCCAACTCCAAATGATTGAGTTTAGAAATAATTACAATACACTTTACAATGAGACTCTTCTGGAAAGTTACAGTAATACCCAGGGGAATAAAAAACCAAAGCTTGAACTAGAATAAATCTCATATTTCAATATTTTATTATAGTTGCTGTTCTTTTGTTATTATTAGAATTCATAGTTATAGATCAATGATCTTAGGTTTTGAGGTAATTAATAGTGTAATAATTAATGTTTTGGTCCCGATAATGTATACCATACATGGCATGCTTTATATATTTCCAAACATGTATTTTCAGAAAATTTGTGCAATATTTTGCAGTCAATTCCTCTTTTTTTTTTTACTAAGGAAATGTATTGTCTAAGAAAGTTTTATTTTCCAAGTTTTTCCAGTTTTTCCATTCTTTCTTAGGTTATTTAATGGCAAGTTTTACTCATTAGAATTTGTTTTCACACTTATCTTATAATAATTTGTGTGACCCACTTTATAAATGTAAGGGTTTAACATTCCAGTCACTTTGGTTAATATGTAATTTTCCCTCCTAACATGATAGCTTCTGGGAATTGCTCACTATTCTGCAATATTATGGAGACGTTTTAAGCAAGTCAAGTACCTGTAACATTAGCAAGATTGTGGTTATCATTTGCTAAAACATACAGAATGTGGGGGATATATTGGTAGTATTGTAGGAAGAATCAACTTGGGGAGGGGTCTGCTGACAGGATGTAGGGTTGACTGTAGAAAGTTTAGTAGGTTAGATAACGCCTATTAATGTTTAAGGCTTAGGGGAGTAGACAGGGTTTGAGGAATACGACTGGTGGTAGTTAAAGGGCAAGCAATAATATCAGTGCCAAGAGAGATGATGGGAATCTGGAAGTGGACCACTTGTGAGGAAGGACCCCCTTTTTTCAAAGAATTAATTGAAAAGTGAAAAATACTTTGATACTGTCTTTTTACCAAGTCTGAATAAAGCATGAGATACAGAAGAAGTATGCTAAATTTCTTGTGCTGATTTGGCTGTAATTGTGCATGTGTGTGTGTGTGTGTGCGCGCGCGCGTGTGTGTGTGTGTAATGTATGGAGAGTGACAGACAGACAGACAGAGAGGTTATGTATGGAGAGAGAAAGAGAGAGAGTATAAATACAGAACAAAAATGTCTCAGAAATACAAGAGAAGAATACCCTGAGAGAATAAAATATCTGCCTAACATTAAGCTGGGGTTTTCCATGAAACATCTGTTCCTATATAGCTTCTATGACAACCTCAAAACGAATGTGACCCATACCCATAAAATCTAAAAACTGCCCATTAGATTAAGTTAGATTAATACTAGTTAGATTTACTTCTTTTATGAGGCAGAGCTGTTAGAGATGAATAAATAAAACTCTCTAATCCTCAGATTAAAAAATGTGCCATGTCTAAAGTTACTTTGTTATAACTAATATATTTTAGATATAATAGAAGTAATATACTGGGAGATTGCAGTTTACCATTAAATTTCTGAGGTTCCTTTTTCTTTAATAAATAGGAAGCTTTGAGATTTTTTTAAGTGCACCACTAGCTCAAGAATATATTATATTCTTAATTAATATGTATCCTGTCATGTTCTTTATCTGCTTAGAGAATTTACAACCAACATGGCAGGTTGTGAATGGTTAATAGATTCATTTTCTAAAAAGAAAAGGTCAGCATTAACATAAAATTCTTGTAAGATTTGTGACACAAATGTTCTTCTCTGTAGAACAGGTGTTGCTAGAAAAGCTAAAATCTGCCACCAAAGCTAAGCTATCAAGATTATTCTTGATATTAAGAGCATTCTGGTAATGAGAAGTATGCTATACCTGCTTTTGCTACTGCTGCTATAGTGAAACACATTACACTCTCTGTGAGTTGGAATAGATTTTGCCAGTTCATATTTTCTACAGTCATGTGGAATTTAATGTATCCTAATTAATTGGATTATTAATATTTGTTGTCATTGTGTTTACACAGCTCTGTATCTTTTTCCTTGCTTACTCTCCCCTTTTTCTGTTCTAGCTTCACTCTGACCAGGACAAAGGAGATGGATCTCTCAAGTACATCTTGTCAGGAGATGGGGCAGGCACTCTTTTTGTTATTGATGAGAGAACAGGAGACATTCATGCCACAAGAAGAATTGACAGAGAAGAAAAAGCTTACTATACTCTACGTGCCCAGGCCATTAACCGAAGAACACTCCAGCCAGTGGAACCTGAATCAGAGTTTGTCATCAAAATCCATGACATCAATGACAATGAGCCAACATTTCCAGAAGAAGTTTATATAGCAAGTGTTCCTGAAATGTCAGTGGTTGGTAAGTATATCGTTCTGAAATGGAAAAAGCATGAGTTGGTGGGATCTTACTGTAAATTTAGATAGTTGGAACATAGGTTGGTTTACATTAAGAAGATTGTTCCGGTTTGCAGGGCTTCGGCGGCAGGCAGGAATCCACGATCGTGCGTGGTTTCTGCCTGGGTTCACCACTGGAGCACCCCGAGCCAGTTGGTTTCGGGGCTAAGTCACCCCGTAGAGGTGGTGAAGAGGGGGGAAATGACCAGCATGGTCGAGGAGAGCCACATCTCTCCTCCTCAGCTGGTCAAACTCCCTTTCCCGAAGGCGGTAGGAGCAGTGGTCAGAAATGGCCACCTCAAAGAAGCACTCAACCGGAAAAGAAAGTGCAGGAGGAAGATAAGAAGTGAAAGTTTTGGCTGACCGGGATAAAAAGCAACAACTAAGGTACCCTGGAATTTAAATTTTATAAAAGATAATATCGCTGCCAATGAAGAGTCGGAAGCAGCAAAAGAAAGTGAAAAGGGAAAGTTTTTTTCTTCTTCTTCTCTCTCCTTCCTCACATTGACAATGAAGAGAGCTGAATAAGAAATCGGAAAAATCCGCTTTGGCACCAATAATTAAGCTGAAAATATAATTAAATGCCAATGGGACAATAAAGATTTCTGGACACCAAAAAATCCTTTTTGTCTATAAGTAGGAAGGGAGAGGAAAATAATAAGGGCAGGATCTGGAAGGAGGAGGCTGCCTGGACTCCAAAAGTATCTAATGTAAAATCTCAATAAGACTTCTAAAAGATAGATTTTAACTGGAACTTTGTAACTAAATAGTAACCCCAGGAAGAGAAAATGAAAAAAGAAGAAAGTGTAAAAAGTGTATTTGGATTGCTTGGTGACTTTAGGATTTTTGGATATTATATTTGAATGACTAAAAACAATTGGGTGGTCATTTAATTTTTTTTACAATGGCACTATCTCTGGATGAACTGAAAATGGAATTTAAAAAATATAAAGAAGAGACACAAGAAGGGAAGGGCTCCTTTGGCTCCATTTTTCAATTCTTAGAAATGGTGATTCGTAATTACGAGAAACAACAAGAAAAGACTGCGCAACAAGAAGATTGGGACAAAGAAGAAGCCATCTTTAATGAACAAGTAACTCCATTTGGGGAAGAAAGGGGAAAGGGGGGAAAGAGAATGGAGAATTTAAGACTTAAAAAAACAACCAAAAAAGGGAAAAATAATTTGAAAAGTGGATATAATGTTAGAAAGCAACAGAAAAGGGGAATACAGAAGAGGGAAATGGAGGTGGAAAGACAGGGGGGTAAAAAGGGGAGAGAAAAGAAGAAAGGGAAGAAGGAAAGGAAGAGAAGTTACAAAAGTTTGGAGAAAGATGTAAGGAAACAGGATCTATAGATAATGGGTGAAAATCTAACTGAAAAAGGGATTGTGTGAAGGCACATAAGATGGCATTGTTATATTTGTAATAGAAATAATGTTAGAAAATTGGATGCAACATATGATTAAAAAGAGGGATAAAATAGTTAGTGTGATTTAGTGAAACTTTTGTGAACAAAATAAATGAAATAAAATAAATGAGAGAACTGAATCAGGAAGGAACAGGAACATTTTAATTATTCAATGTTTTATAAAATATAAGTGAAGTGGGGGGAATTAACTATGGAAAGTTTATAAGTGTTCCCATAGAAGCATGATATTTATCTGAAAAGTAATGTGTAAAATGTTAAGATTTAAATGAATATTAATATTAATGATAGAATTGAATTGGTATGGATTGTTGTTCTAATTATATTATACATTTATACTTTTTTTCTTTTAAAAAAATACAGTATGTAATTTTAGAAAGTGCCAAGCAGAATCCAAATGGAAGTTATGTATTATATTAAGTGTTATAATTTTAGGGGAAAGATATAAAGGCGTGATACTCCAATCAGTGATGACAGGAGAAATTTTGTTTAATGAGAAAAGATAGTAGACAATTGAAACAGGACAGACAAAGAATATAAGTACAATGATTTGAATTGAGATGAAATAAATAAAATAAAATTTAAAAAAGTTAAAAGAGGGGAGAAGCTATATTGAAAATGTAGAATAGTAATAAGATATGGAATGGAATATAAAAATGAGCATGAACTGGAATTTGTGTCTGTACGAAGAGATGTAACCCGGGACTATGCTGCTTTCAAAAAAGATGTTTTATGTGTTTATGTTTTATGTTTTGTTTGTTTATGTTTGTTTTAAAAAATCAAAAAAAAATTCAAAAAAAAGAAGAAAATTGTTTAAATTAAGCAGGACTAGCAGGTTCTGCAAAGGTTATTTTATGTGGAGATCAAATTAAATAATTTACTAAATAACGTGATAAAAGTTTTTTCCCTCTCTTTTCATTTTAAGACAGAAAGGAGCCATGTGGGTTGCATGTTATAATATTTTCTTATGTAGTGGTATTTATTTTATGTAAAAGGAAATAACATTAACATTTTAATTTAGCCGTTTTACCAATAGCTTAAATGGGAATCCCAAATTGTTGGCACACTGGGTACCATACCAAAAAGCTTTGGATGACATGTAGAAAACTTGTGCAGACAAAATTTCCTTCTGTCAATTGTGAAGGCCACACTGCTTGGATCCATACATTTATTGTACCAATACATTATGACATCCTGGATTCTTGGAAGAACTCAAAACATATAAAGCTAAAATCAGCTGTGACTTCACATTGTTGTAAACAAGTAATGATTAACAACAACAATAATAACGTTTGTGATATTTGTGATATATTATAAATGTTCAGTTGGCTGAATTTCTAATCATCATCATCATCATCATCATCATCATCATCATCATCCTGTTTCTACAAAAAACCACCCTACTTGAAACAGCTTATATCCTCCGATGCTACCTTAACAATTCCTAGGTCCTTGGTTAGGACTCGAGCTGTTGAGCTACCAATCAGCCCCAAAGGTTGTGAATCTCACTATAGATTTTATTATTATTATTATTATTATTATTATTATTATTATTATTATTATTATTATTATTATTATTATTATTTAATACATAATAAAGTCAAGGAATCAACTTCAGCCAAATACATTCGAAGAATTCGCAAGATTTTAAAGTCCAAATTGAGTGGTGGAAACATCATAAAAGCAATAAATACCTGGGCTATACCTGCCATTCAATACTCTGCAGGAATAATTGATTGGACCCAGATGGAGCTGGGCAATTTGGACAGAAGAACAAGGAAGCTTATGACTATGAATCATGCCTTGCACCCTAACAGTGATGTTGATCGATTATATTTACAAAGAGCAGAGGGTGGTCAAGGTCTCCTACAAGTAAAGCAGACTGTAGAAGAAGAAAGACATAGCTTGAATGATTACATCCAGAAAAGTGAAGAGCCAATGATTAAGGAAGTACATAAGGGGGGCCTCTTGAAGACAACCAAGTCAACAGCTGAATACAAAAAAGAAGTAATTGAGAAGTGAACTGAAAATTGGAAAAGCAAAGCTATGCATGGCCAATACATGAAAAGTATTGAAGGCAAAGCTGACCAAAAGCTTTTGTGGAACTGGCTAAAATCAGGAATACTGAAAAAAGAAACTGAAGAGTTTAGTTTGGCTGCTCAAGAACAAGCCTTAGCCACAAATTGCATGAAAGCAAAGATTCAGCATGTCACCACCAACAGCAAATGCTGCCTCTGTAATGAGAAAGATGAAAGAGTTGACCATTTAATTAGTGGGTGCAGCAAAATTGTACAAACTGACTACTTAGAATGCCGTAAGCAAGTTGCTAAAATCATTCACTGGAAGCTGTGCCAAAAGTTTGAATTTGAGTATAGTAACAACTACTGGGAACATCAGGTTGAGTAGGTTCTGGAGAATGAAAAAATTAAGATCTTGTGGGACTTCAGATTTCAGATTGACAGGCACTTGGCCCACAACACACCTGACATAACAATAGTTGAAAAGAAAAAAAAGGTTTGGTTCATTGACTTTGCAATACCTGATGATGCACAAACTGAAGACAAGCAGCAAGAAAAAATCATAAAGTACCAGAACTTACAAATTGAAGTTGCGTGACTTTGGAAAAAGAAATTGTGTGTTATCCCAGTTATAATTGGAGTCCTTGGAGGAATACCTAAAGGGCAACCTCACTATTTGAAAATTCTGAACTTATCAGACTTGAATACCCTGATTCTACAAAACACCACCCTACTTGGAACAGCTTATATCCTCCGATGCTACCTTAATAGTTCCTAGGTCCTTGGTTAGGACTCAAGCTATTGAACTACCAACCAGCCCCAAAGGTTGTGAATCTCACCAAAAATTACAACAACAACAACAACATATATTATTGGATGGCACAGTGGCTCAGCAGTTAAGATGCTGGACTTGTCATCTGGAAAGCCAGCAGCCCAGGTTCAAGACCCAAGTGCCACACAACAGGGTGAGCTCCAGTTCTTACCCCACTCCTGCCAAGCTAGCAGTTCAAAAGCATGCAAATGTGAGTGGATAAATAGGTACCACTTCAGTGGGATTATAACAACATTATGTGATGTCACTGGCTCAATGACCTGGAAACAGAGATGACCGCTGCCCTCTATAACCAGCAGTGACTAGTGGTGGATGCTGCAACAGTCATAAGTGTGAAAAATAGTCATAAGTCACTTTTTTCAGTGCCATTGTAACTTTGAATGGTCACTCCACACAAGCAAAGTACCAGCAAAGGAGGGGAAAAAAACTCCAGAGATTTCCTGAGACAGGAAGTCTAGTCCTGCCAAGAATGTAATAAGGGTTAACAGAGAGTCAGTTTCTGTAAGCAACACCAGAATGTTTCCTTCCTGTCTTCCTTACAGGATTAGGCCAGTAATTTCTTCTAACAACCGGTTCTCTGAACTGCTTAGAATGTTAACAACCAGTTCTAGCGAATAGGTGTGAACTGGTAGAATCCCACCTCTGATTCAAACTAGTGCAATCAAGGACATATTTTTTTAAAAATCAAAT